TGTAGTCTCCTTTGGGTTATTCTGAGCCTAGCCAAACATGAATACTCGTTTATGTTTTCTGCATCTACTCCTAGTTCTCCTATTCTTACGCTGGAATGCCATTTTTCCCCAGTATCTAACTTAATTCTTCTTTTAAAGTTTAGCTCAAATGCTACTTCCTCCCAAAGTCTTCTCAATGAATCTCTCCCTTGTAAACTCCTATCTTGTGTACAGGTTGCCCTAGGGAAGGTGTGACACATACCTAATGAATAGTTATTGAATGAATGCTTAAATTACTTTATTGAAAGAGGAAGCAATTTTATTATGTTTATTTTTTATTTTCTTGAAATCCTTCATAGAGAAAGGATTACAAAGATATTTTTAAACTAGCGTTTTGATAAAATTATGAATTAATTTTAAATTATATAGACTATAAAAGTCATTGAGTTAAAGTTTGTATCTTAGCATATTAATAATTAAGAAATGTATTTTAATGCATTATTTTCTGGATTTTAAAAAATATTTAAATAAGTTTGGCATATGTTATTTGCAGTGTAAATGCAGTATTTTTGCAGCCTAGATGTTTGTGTTATTACTTTTAATACTTAGAATAGTTTTAGATTTTTAAAGTTGCAATGAAAATAAACCAAGTTAATGCTGCTTCCAAGGCCCAAAAACTTCTATTAGACACAACAGAAAGTTTATTTGAAGGTTAAAAGTTGTATTTAGAGCCTACAGAAAGTTAGGAAAACAGAAACACAAAAGGAAAAAAATTTAACTGCCTTACACCTCACAACTGAAAGATAACTGGAATTAATATTTTTGCATATATGTAATTTTATTTTATGTGATATATATACTTCCAATAGCACCCCAGTTTTTTACTATTGCAAATAAAAACACAGTTTCATGGAGTCTTTTTTTGTTTATCTGTTTTCTTAGGATATATTTAATTGTTTGGTCAAAAGAGAGACTCATTTTTAATATTGTTCTATATTTCCAAATTCACTCATCATAAATGTGTCTACTATGAGTAAAACAGTCTTGTACATTTTCCAGTACTAGGTAATTAAAAGTACTAATTTTAAAACAAATCTCTCCAAATTTTATAAATAATCTCATTTATTTTTGTGGCTTTACATACCATCTATGTGCTCAAGGCTTTCAAATTTATACTTAGACCTTGTCCTGAATTCCAGACATATATTCTGGGTTGCCTGATTGACATCTCCACTCTGGAGCATTTAAAGCAGGTGTCTCAAAGTTGTCATCCTGGAAATGGAGCTCTTGATGTTTCCCAAAATAATAGTAAATCCTACAGTTTTCCTCATCCCACCACGTGAAAATCATCATTTTTCTTCACGCTTAGCTTCCAGTCTGTCATCAAATCCACCTCTCAAGTATATTCAGAATTTGGACTTTACTTCTCACCAGCACCACTGTCATTATCCCAATTCAAGCCTCCATTATCTCATTGTTACTGTGACCATGATCATTCTCCTTGCTTCAGCCGTAGCTCCTGCAGGCAGCATTCCAGTAGCAGTAGAGTTGTTCCTGTAAAATGTAGTCAGATCATGTCACTGCTCCTGCTTCAACCCCCAGAGATATCTGGTTCATAAATACCTACAAGTCATTATACCCATCTCATTTTCTATTACCTCTCTTTCTTCTTCTACTCTATCTCTTCCATTCTTCCTACTTTCTCTATTTCTACCTCACTGGCTTTTGTTGTTTTCTCAACTCTGCTAGGCCTCTCCTGCCGGCTGCTTTTGCCTTTCTCTAAACAGACACACTTCCTATCAGTTTTACTCTGCAGCTCCTTTCTCAGAGGCCTTCCTCATATGTCATTCCTAGCTGCTTTTGTGTTTGATTTATTTTACTGCTTATTCTATTTTTGATTCAGTCTGTCCTCTCCAGTATGCAAGTTTCATGGAGGAAGGGAATTTCGTCTGCTTGCTCACAAATAGAACCTTCAATGCCTACAGCATAAAAACTAATGAACATACTGGTTCATGTATTCATCAATCATTCACATTTCTGCCTTTTGATCTAATTGCTCATTTTTTGTAGTTGTCTTTTGTCCTGACTAATATATAATAACTGTGTATATTAAGGATATTAATGCCATATTTTGTTTTATTTTTTGTAATCGATAAATGTTATTTGACAAGGCATCAAATTTGTCATTTGCTAATATTTTTTCATATTTTGGTTTGCCATTTAAACTGTATTGGTGCTATGAAATTTTGGAGAGAGATACACGCGCACACATTTTTTTAAATGGCTTCTCTTGAGAGTGCTCTCACAGCTCTGCACATCTTGTAATCAAAGATAGTCATCTATGAGATTGTCTTTTCAAGGATATTTGCATAGTAGATATCCTTGGAATATGATAACTGTGTCTCCCTTAGGAGTATGGGCAGGCATGCTCACTGCCTGCTATAAGAAATTTGGGTCCCCAAACTCAGGTTCATTGCAATGCATTTGACTTCACAAGGCAGCACCTGGCCTGTCATGTTTCTGTGGGAATTGGGGCTCAGGAAACTGATACAAATGCTGAGTAGTCTTGCTACTGCCAAGGCGAGTAATAAGTCCTGTCTCTGACCTAGGGAATCTTGTACCTTCTGTTATAGCATCCATGAAAATTTGCAGTGTGAGGGGCTAACTCAGTGTTTGCAAGGAAGATAATATCTCAGACTTTTTACATTTCTCCACATCTTCTTTAATTTTATGCTTTAGACTTTTGCTATCCTGAAATGAAATACAGTTTTACCTGAATTGTCTTTGAAAATTTTTAAAGTTTTTATTTAATCTGATTTGATGCTTTAAAGGCTGAGGCAGGTAGTCAACCTATTTTTTTTCCTAATAAACAGTTATTTTTATTGCCATTTATTTAGTTGCCCATGTTTCCATTGATTTAAAAAATCTAACCTTTATCAGCGTACTATGTATAATTTTTCTGTATTTTGCTTTTCCAGTAACCTCTATATTCTATTGATTTTTCATATCTAGGAACATTTCCAAGTTTTTTTGTCAGTAAATTTAAAAAGTTTTAAAAATCATATGTCCTGTGTAAATCTTAAGAAGGTTGTTCATGAGTATTAGTCATTAACTTTAGAAATTCCTAAATTTTAGATGGTAATTGCATGCAATCAGAAATAATTATTTTATCAACTTTGTTAATACATGAGTTATGTTTTTTATAATTCTGTAGCACTGAAGTATAAGTGAAATATATTCGAAATGACTTATAAAATCTATATCTTTGCTAGACTTACACTTGCTGCTTTGAAGGATGAAGAGCCTTGTTGAAAATGAACTTGAATTGCAGGAAGTAGAAAACCAGAAAAACCCTTGTTGAAATGTATAAAACTCAGGATTACTATTGCATTTATTTTAGTGTTTACTAAAATTGTAGACAATTTAAAACACTATTTGCTCTGCAATCTAAATAAACAGAACTGGAAGAGAGTTGGGGCTACTTGGCTAGGTTATAATATGGTATGACTCAAATATTTCTTAAGGTTCCACACGTCTTTGTAAATAGATGATTTCACATTACTGATTCCAACACTGCATATGGATGGATATTCCTAAAGTAGATTTAATATTAATTACTTAGGTATAATGTAGACCTCTAATGTATTCTGTTAATCTTGGCTATATTTGTTTCATACCATGTATATTTAATGGTATTGATTTAGATTATTGACTCTCTAGGTCATTAAAGTTCATTATGCCTCCTTTCTCAGGAAATAAAGTATAATCTTAGATTTATTCACATGGAAATGCCAAGAAAAAGAACATGTGACAATATATATGAAATAGACCATGTGTTCAATGGTAATTTGTAGAAAAACCTTTTTATTTTTGAAATGTAGTATTCAAGAAAAACTTCATGAGAAAGATGGGACTTATGCAGGTCCTTGCAAGGATGGGTAAACACACTGGTCAGAGAAAGTTTGAATTAAAGAATAATGAACTGGCTGGGCATAGTAGCTCACACCTGTAATCCATCAGAGGCTTTGAGGGGTGACTACTTGAAGTCAGGAGCTTGAGAGACCAGCCTGACCACTATGGTGAAACCCTGTCTCTACTAAAATACAAAATTAGGCAGGGGTGTGGTGGACACGCACCTGTAGTCTCAGCTACTCAGGAGGCTGAGGCAGGATAATTGCTTGAATCCAGGAGGTGGAGGTTGCAGTGAGCCGAGACTGTACCAGTGTGCTCCCAGACTGGGCAAATAGAGCAAGACCCATCTCCAAAAAAAAAAAAAAAAAAAAGAAATGTACTACAGATGAAAGCTAAGGGGGCAAAAGTGTGGGCAGTAGAAAGGGGCTGCATCTTCATGGATTAGAAGGGAAAATTAGAGCGAGACTCCAGTTAGAGCATTTCAGTCATCCAAGTCTGAGGTAGGAATGGAGATTGTGGGGGACTGTGGGACCTCTTCTTCATCAGGGTCCCTCCAGCTAAGATGTTTAATCCCTCAGCAGGAATATTGTTGTTGAGTGACCATATTCTGGGTGCAGGGCCTAGAATCTTTTTTTTAAATCAGATTTTGGATTTGTGGGAAAAATAATTTAGCTGAAGCTAGTTTGGCCCAGAGACTGGTTCTTTGAAGTGACATTGATCTGCAAATGAAACCTTTGTAGTCTTCAAAGCTCAACTGAGAGTTTAGAAGTATTGATGAGAGAAGACAGGTAACCAGACAAAGATTGTGGGTTAGAGTAGACCACTGAGTGATTCTGTATTTAAAGAAGGAATAACATTAGATGAAATCCAATCGTGAGATGGTGATAGGAAAATAATGACTTAAGCTGAAATGAAATCTTAAATTTTAGATTTTATCCTCATGATTCTAAAAATAATATGCTTTAGTAACAGACTTTATTTTCAGTAGCAGTTTATCTTTAATAATAGACTTGATTAGTACAAAGCAAAGAATAGCTGAAATAGTAAAAGCAGATGTGTAGGGGATTGGTTATGCATAAAATAAACTTAAACAACAAAACCAAACATAAAATATAGAGAAGGTGTTTGGAATTTCAAATAAAATATAAATATATAAAAATTTTATTTATATATCTTTATTTAGAATAGTATGCAAATTCATTCATTTGGTCATTTTCTAGTTCATACTTAGGAAAGGCCAGTCTTAACTTGTAAGAGTTTGTTTTCCAAGGAAATAATGTTTCTTCCAGGCTGGAAATGTTTGTTTATGTGAATTATTTTCACTTTTTTGTTAATATTTGGAAAATAGCATAACATAAATGTTTAATTTTCTGATGCAAGAACAGACTTAGCCATTTCAAAATGGTTATCAATCATAAGTATACAAACTTGGTAATTTCATTTTTAACTCACCCTTTTTTTCTGGTTAAATCTTACGTCTAAAAGTAAAGCTAATATCTGCTAAATGCATTTTTGAAGAAAAATATCTTTTAAAACCATCATTTCTTTTATTTGTTCTGTTGCAACAGAATGAAGGGCATAATGTTGGTGTTATGATGTTTTTGTGAATATTTTAAAGTTTTTAAATGAAACTGCATCTCTGGGTTTTTGTGTTGTTTTGCAAAGAAGCAGTGAAAGTTGTAGGATGCTGACTCCTGGCAGCAGAGGTCATGCGATGTTAGTGGTCAGTTCCATCTGAATCTAATAAGGTTATTTCCTCTGGTTGCTCCTGTCTTAGGATTGAGGAGCTGTGAGCGAGGCACAACAATGTGAAGAAGGGGCTGAAGCAGAGCAAAGGCCCTCCCAGTTATACAGAGATAAAGATATCACTGAATGCACAACTGCATCAAGCCATGGAATTACTTTTCACCTATTTTTAGCAGGCTAGCAAGAAATCCATTTCATGTCTTTGGTCTTTTTTTTTCGTGAAACATACCAGTGCAAATGTCTCCTTTTCATGGCAGCATTGCAAATAAAAGCATATTTTACAATTCTGTTCAAATGACAGAAAAAGCGGCTAGAGCCTTTTTCAGATACTGTGAGGTCACGTATGTTTTCTTTCTAGTATTTTGCATAAGACAACTATTTTAATGAAATTTTTCTTTTTCTTTTCACTGTTTAAGTCTCCTGGTTTTTCTGGATGAGTTCTAAGATGTTTTAGACACTGAGGGATCCTCTTTGCTCTAGTTTTGTCTTCATGATCAAGAATGCCAGATACTACAGAAACTATTAGTGTTCCCATCTCAGGGAAAGAGTCTATTTTTTTGTAATTAGGCAAATGATTTCTGTTATTGCCGCCACATTCTCCACAAAAGTGCTGCAGGAGGAACTGCAGTAGCCACAAACAGGAAAGCACAGATGAAATTAGATTTGTTGATAGTAATATTAATGGTCAAAAATGAAGTAAGCAGAACTGATGATACTAGCTTATTTAAATAATATACAATAAACCCTACCAGTTTTGGCTAAGATGAGTGGTTAAGCTGCTCTTAACTTTAGGCAAGTATCTGAGTTATAAGATTGAATGACTGAAAGTGACATTTTTAGAACCTATAGCTGATAGTAGACAATCACAGCTTTATTAGTAATGATTATTAGTGATAATCTGTGCTTGAATATAATGTCAGGATTTTAAAAATTTGCTTTAAAAATTAAACATCCAATTCTGTCAGCTAATTTACCCTATTTATGTGTACTCAATAAACTTGGAAAAACTAAAGGCCTCACCCCACTTTTAGTTATACATTCTTATTTAACAGAGTTTAAATTTAAGATTATCCATGTGTTCTTATTTAAAGCTATTATATCAGTAAAAATACTTGTGTTATACATATTATCTAGTATTTAAGATAATAAAAATATTAATGCCAGAATGTGTGATCTTGCACTTATTTCCTACTGCTACAACTCAGATGAAAGGCCAGATGGAGTCCCATCTGAAGGAGTTAGAGCGTGTCTGCGATTCCTTGATGGCAGCTGGAACGAGGCTTCACGAGGTCAGGAGAGTCTGCAGTGCTGTGCGGGAAGTGCAGACCAGGAACACACCGTTAGGAGCTTCAGGGCCAGGTGTGCAGCCACCCTTCTTGAGTTTTGCTAAATGCGTTAAAAGAATGCTTTGGAATGATTTCACCAGTTGAGGGCACTCATGTCAGAGCTTGATTTTTAAATTCCCATCTACTTAGTTTGTAAAACATCATTTTCATGCAGATACTATAATACCAAGTTTTGCAAGCTATTCTTTAGTATTTTATGGTGAAAATTGATAATTAAAATTTATTTTTAAATCTAAGTAATTATACCAGGAATTTAAAACTCATTTTAACAACATATAACGCTTTTGGTGTCTTTCTCGTGTGTGAAGAGCAGTAACATTTTATACCTTTCTCATTGCTTGTGGCTGTCTAATAACAATTGTGTGGATTTCTTTGGAAGTTGATTTGTGAAGAAAATGACTAAGAAAACTTTTTTTTCTTTAGGTTGATGGAAGTCAAGTAGTCTTCGACAAAGCTTTCTGGAAGAGGAAAACTATCTTATTCAATTGAAGTGTGAAACCTTCAACAGGTAAGTATTAAATTACTTAACATTGTTGCTGCATATTTTCCGTATAATTAAACTTTTGAAATATATGTTTTCTGTAAAAAGAAAATGGGAACAGATGGACACACAGAAAATAAAGAGCTTGAGAAGAAGCTGGCAAACCAAGAAGAATGTCTTAAGCACAGCAATCTAAGTTTAAAGAGAATCTGCAGAATATACAGCATTGGCCAGACAACTGGTCGCTTTTGTAGCACAAAGACAAAAGGTGCATGCATGGCCTTTATTTAGAAACTTTTTAATTCATTTACCAAAGAGTCATCTTTTTACACATCTTGCCAAACCAGTAGTTATTGTTTTTGTCTTGATGACAGGGTGAAGGGAGCAATTACATTTTTGTTCTTTAACTATCTTCTCTTTCAAGCAAAACAGATACATTGCTGGGCCAGAGTTACTCACTAGATAAATGGTAATGGCTGAGAAAGGCAGAGATGGAAAACACCTCTAGAAGACATAATATCCTCCTGTACCTTTTTTAAATATTATATAACCAAATTGGAATGTGCAAATAATTGAACATTATTGTTGTGACTAGATTCAGTGAGCTGCAATATTCAAGTCCCTTTTGACAAATATTGTTAAAGGTCAGTCATATACATATTAAATTTCGTTATGATTCATTAGGTTAGCATTCAATGAATACTTCAGTATCAGGCAATCTACAAGTGCTTTCTGAGATGCAAAGATGAATGAGACTCACTAGCCTCAGCACTCTCATAATCTGGTAGGTTCAGCCCAAGGCATTTTGAAATGCGGGCATGTTTCCTGTGGATTCCTTCCTGAAAGGAAGAGTTCAGAGTCCCAGAGGTATGTCTGCCTCTCCTTTCTCTCTCCTGCTACGGTGGAATATGGGGCTATCTGTAGCTTCTGCCCATGTGAGAGTGCCATCACTGCCCTGTTACCATGGCCTACACTGAGGGGATGGTGCCGAGGGCATTGGTGTTTGTCCTAAGGGTCTTTTCTCCTATAGCTTCAGATCACACTGGCATCTCTCAAGTAATAATTGTTCTTGGAATATGTACAGAAGAAATCTCTTTATATAACTTAGAACTGAGTTCATAGGGAATTAGGTTGGAGGACAGTCCTTTCCACTAGCTCCCTTGTTCCTGGATCAATCCCTGCCTCTTCTACTCTCAGCCCTGTGGCTCCAACCCAGCATTCTTACAAATAGGCTTCCACATATCTGATTCCTTAGAAGAACATAACTAAGCTAGACTTGCCAAAATAAGTAGTCAGGTAAATATGAAAATCAAATTCAGACCATGGAAGTGAAACGAATGAAGAACTGCCCTGTGTTTTGTGTGTGTGTTTGCAGGAAGTGTGTATACCCAATTCCTACTCCCAGTTCTGTTAATCCAAGTGTATAGTCAGAGTATTTAACAAGGAATTTCTATGTTCCATCACTGCTTTTAACACCCTGGTGAATATAAATGCTATAAAAATGGTAACTGGTCTCAGTCTGTTTTTAAATATACTGCTGGAGAAAACACCTACCTAAGTCACAGAGCAGTGAAAATGTATACATTCTTCCATCTCAAGCCAATTTTGTAGATATTTAATGCTGCGAAGATAAGTATAGTACATACTATACACTATATATGCTTTCTTCAAGATACAACATCTTTAAACTTGATATAATATACAAGTAATATGTTTTATAAAAAGGTACAATATAACTATGTCAAGGCTTTAAATCATATTTTAAAGAAAGCACTTTATTTTACTCTTTTGATAAAAATTACAGGTTGCTGAAGAAATAGAGAAAATGTCATCTAGAGAGAGCTTTACAAATTAAAATATTAGATCTGAAACTGAGCTTTAGAAAGAAAAACGAAGAACAAAATCAACTTGTTTGCAAAATGAACAGTGTAAGTATTAGCATGGCTTAACATATTATAAAAAATAAGCATTTAATATTCTTACCATGTAGAAAGTACAAAGCGAGTGAATCAAGGCTATTGTTTTATTGATAATATTAAAAATAACAAGCAATATAAAACATAAAAAATAAAAATGTTATGATACATGCCAAATAATTTATTATTCTGCCTTGGATGGCACGTGTGATTGCATTGCCCTCAAATCTGATAAAATCTCATCAGCCCTTTCCTAATGTTACTTTGCAAATGCATAATGAAAATTACAGATATAATCTACTTGATTTCATCCTGATATGAATTTTTCATTTTTTAAAGATAAACACGTGAGTTTTATATCTGTCTTGAATAATGAATATTTTATTTTAGAAAGTTAGTAATTTTGTATTAAATATCTAGTATTGTTATATGTATGAGATGGATACTTTAGTCCATTCAGTCGAGAAATGAAAATACCAAATTGACTGTGTTCAATTAGTCTTCTGTTTTTTCCTGAATTACGCATGAAATAGTCAATTGGCATAGAATATCTTCGAAAGCTATATTACTCATGATTAAATTACTTAATAACTATCTATTAGATAATGACATAGAGAATAATGATACTGTATTTTTTCCAGGATCCAGAGAGTCCATTAAATCTATTTTTTTATCTCTTATGTCTAAAAGCGAAAACCTAAAAGATTCAAGGGTTAAATGACTGTTGGCATGCATACTGATTTATTGCCATCAAAAAAGTTTCATGACAACTTAATCAGAACAAAATGTCGACACTTTAATTTAGCACAGGCTTTCCATTTATTTCAAACTTTTTTTAAACTCACCATTAGAGTTTCTGACATTGTAAAATATGTGTGCTGTTTTTTGTGTAATTGAAGCCTCTGAAAAAATAAATGAGGTGGGTTTTGCTGTAATATCCCTAGTACTTGGCTAAAGTTAGTAAAATAAATAGATTCCATTCACAATTGCTACTAAGAGAATAAAATATTTAGGAATGCAACTTACTAAGTGGATGTGAAGGACCTCTTCAAGGAGAACCATAAACCACTGCTGAAGGAAATAAGAGAGGACACAAACAAATGGAAAAACATTCCATGCTCGTGAATAAGACAAATCAATATCATGAAAATGGCCATACTCCCCAAAGTAATTTATAGATTCAGTGGTTATCCCCATCAAACTACCATTGATTTTCTTTGTTATGAATTAGAAAACCACTTCAAATTTCATTTGGAACCAAAAAGAGCCCACATAACTAAGACAATCCTAAAACAAAAAAGAACAGGTGCTGGAGGCATCACATTACCTGACTTCAGACTATACAACAAGGCTACAGTAACCAAAATAGCATGGTACTGGTGCCAAAACAAATACAAAGACCAATGGAACAGAACAGAGGCCTCAGAAATACCACCTGACACATCTACACCATCTGATCTTTATAAACCCGACAAAAGCAAATGACAGAAAGATTCATTGACAAATGGTGTTGGGAAAACTGGCTAGCCATATGGAAAACGAAACTGGATCCCTCTCTTACACCTTATACAAAATTAACTCAGATGGATTAAAGACTCTAAAATGTGTAAGACCTAAAAACCATAAAAACCCTGAAGAAAACCTAGGTAATACCATTCAGGACATAGGCATGGACAAAGACTTCATGACTAAACACTAAAGTAATGGCAATAAAAGCCAAAAATTGACAAATGGGATCTAATTAACTAAAGAGCTTCTGCACAGCAAAAAGAAACCATCATCAGAGGAATAGGCAAATTGACAGAATGGGAGAAAATTTCTGCAATCTATCCATCTGACAAAGGGCCAATATCCAGAATCTACAAAGAATCCTAAACAAATGTACAAGAAAACCCCATCAAAAAGGGCAAAGAATAGAGAACAGACATGTCTCAAGACATTTAGGCAGCCAAAAACATATGAAAAAAGCTCATCATCACTGATCATTAGATAAATGCAAATCAAAACCACAGTGAGATATCATCTCATGCCAGTTAGAATGATGATCATTATAAAGCTGTGGAAGCAAACAGATGCTGAGAGGATGTATAAAATAGGGAATGCTTTTACACTGTTGGTGGGAGTGTAATTTAGTTCAACCACTGTGGAAGACAGTGGCGATTTTGATTTAGTTCAAAGCATTGATTTGATTCAGCAATCCGACATGGGGTGGGACACCTAAAGTATTGCAAATCATTCTAATTTCTGAAAGACACATGCACACATAAGCTTATTGCAGCACTATTCACAATAGCAAAAAGACTTGGGGCCAACCCAAATGCCCACTGTGACAGACTGGACAAAGAAAATGTACATATACACCATGGAATACTATGCAGCCATAAAAAGGATGAGTTCATGTCCTTGCAGGGACATGGATGAAGCTGGAAACCATCATTCTCAGCAAACTAACACAAGAACAGAAAACCAAACACCGCATGTTCTCACTCAAGAAGGAGTTGAACAATGAGAACACATGGATACAGGGCAGGGAACATCACACACTGGGGCCTGTCAGGGCATGGGGGGCTAGGGGAAGGATAACAGTAGTAGAAATACCTAATGTAGAGGATGGGTTGATGGGTGCAGCATACCACCACAGCATGTGTATACCTAGGTAACCAACCTGCACGTTCTGTACATATCCCCAGAACTTAAAGTATAATAATAATAATAATAAATAAAGATCTGATGTTTTGTTAAACCTGATAATTTATGTACTAGTAAAATTCTAGAATTCTAAGCATAGATTTAAACATTGCTGAAAATTAGTTTGCGTGTTTTATATGCCTTCCAGGGGACAGTTACAGGCAGCACGGAATGGTGTCTTTCTAGCCCTGCATTTGAATTGTAAGCAATTTGAGAGTATGTCTCTTGAAGGCTCTTATCCCTGGTGTCTCCCACGTGCCCTGCTCACCCGCAGGCCTTTGTATTTTCTGTCCAAGTAATTCTAATGGGTGGCAGAATGGATTTACAGATCTGAGGATGACCTCAGCAGCTGAACCAAGGCACCCTCCTAGCTCTCGAAATGTCTTTGAAGTCTTATGTATTATCCTAAAATCCATTGACATTTTATATCCCAATTCTACAAAATAAGTGTGTGTTACTATTTTTCTTTCCAAATTGTTGAGTAAAACTCAATGTATTTATCCTGTGACTTTGTGCTGCTAAGGCTATCACATTATTTTTACTTCACCTATTTAGATAATGCTCTAGGTTTTTTAATATTGTGTATTTGTGTCATTAAACACCTGATATGAAGGATGTAAAAGTTCTCTCTTTCTGTCTAGGTGTCTATATTTTTAATTGAAGCTAGATGATATTTGCAACTCAGGTTATCTAAAGCATTGTCAGTGAACTCACCTACTTAAGAATCTGCTATAAACCTTAGTTAAAAAAAGTATTGCAGTTTTAAATTTTTCCTCAGAACAACTTAATGTGAAGAATTATTTTTATTTTTTAAGGCATTCTAGAAACAAAATGTCACATTATCAAAACTAGAGTGCTGAAGTCAACTTTTAAGACATTTAATTATTTTAAATAAAATGGAATTTTTAGAAAGAAAAAATGGCAAAAACTGGTATGAAAATATATCATGTTACATGTGAAATTATAACAGTTGTTAAAGAACCTATTAAGTTAATTATGTTAAATATGTAATAATTTGGTGCTAAAATGAATGTGTGCATTATAAAATTTATATCAGTGAAAACTGAATCATATGTGTGTGCTTTAATTATTAATTTTAAAGAAGAGTGAGCTCTAAGAATGAACACATCAGATGTGAGTATTCTTTTAAAAAATCAAAAAGAATTATCTAGTTGTATATATGTTTTTAATGTTATGACTTGCTCCTTTGGAATGAATGCTATTATTGTTTATCTGTATTTTTCCTCTCTTTTTTCTTTAGAAAGCACAACATCAGGAAGTGTGTTTGAAAGAAGTACAAAATAGTCTTGAGAAGTCAGAAAATCAAAATGAGAGTATTAAGAATTATTTATATAGCTCTTTTAAATTGTGATGTAAAGAATGTTTGAATAAATTGTTAGATTTATTTTCTTCTCTAAGTAGTAGATTTTTATTATAGAGGCCCAAATGTGATTGGGTAAAAAAATAAATATACTACCAGTTATATTTTATGATTTATGGGTGATAGTATTAGAGCTTTTATGTAAAGATTTTTGAAACACAATTTATCTAACTGAAACCCAAATAGGATAGTTGTTACTTTCTTCCCTTTTGCCGAATAATTTTTATTTTTTATTCTGGTTTAATTTCTTTAAAAGTAAATTGGTTTTTAGAATTTTTCACACATACACATAGAACTCCGATTAATTCTTTTGTGATGTTTGTAGCCACCATTCAAGCGTGAATTTAGTGAGTCTTTGCTAATTTGATTTTAAATAATGTATATAATTGATAATATTGCAAGTATATATAAAACGTAATAAAGTAAAATATTCTTAATTTAATTCTTTAATAATGGTGTAATTACATACTTCTAAAGCTACTAAATTTTAAGTCACAGCTTATTAAATACCAGCTGCTAATGAAGAGAAAACTTGTCACAATGTTTTTACAAAGAACAGACATTCAGGCTGTCTTCAATTTGTAGCTTCTTTATTCACTTATACTTAATGATTATCTGATATTATTATTATTTTTAGTGCATTCAGCCTCTAGTTAAATAAAAGATTGAAAGGAGAATGAATTTAACCCACCTTTCCATGGTTAATTATATGGAGATGATCAAAATAAAAATTTAACATCAACAGTTTTTTAAAATAAGGTCTTTAGTATTGAGATGTAGTTGTCCAAGTGATAAAAGAACTGTTATGTGGTGATTCTACTGCAGCGCAAGGCAGGATACTCTAAAAAAGTGGGAGATGGACGGTTTGTTGTAAGGATCAAGTAATAGCTGACTCTCTGACAATGACTTCAGATCTGTTAATCAAAGGAACACCTAACTAAAAGATCTCTTTGCAAAAGGCAGGTTTTGAACTACACAGTTCCAGCCTACAAACAGACAGACTTTTAAGATGTTTATGCTTTTCTGATCAGAGTTGAGGGCCTGGTCCCCACTTATCCCCTCACTTTTAAGACTGTCATATCATCCACAGATGCTTATCACTTTCAGTGGACTCCAATTAAGCCTACAGCATTTCTTTTCTTAAAAATAGCAAAATACAGAGTGCTGTGAACTGCTAGCATTTTTACCCAACAATTATGCACAAGATTAGTGTCACTTTTTAAAAAAATCATAGTACCTGGCGGTGGTACTAAAAACATACCTGGACTTTGCAGCCGCTTTCTTTATTCCAATACAAAGGGAGCCCCAAGAAATGCCCACATGAAAGGAAAGCAGCTCTTTGAGTTTTACTCACTAAACTGTAAGCTCCTTAAGGGCTGAAACATATCTTAGTCATATAAATATCTAGGTACCTGTGCTGATGTTTGTGGATAGATGGACAGATGTTGAAAGAAGCAGGTATTCATACTCCTGTTTTAGATATGAAAACGAAGCGTGCTGTGGTTAACTATTTTATGGTTGTGAAAGGAACTGCTTTCAAAGTTGGCATTTAAATTCAAGTCTACAATATTAAAGTTCTATGTACAGTGCTGTTTTCCACTGTAGCAGTTGTTCAAAGTTACAGCGCTGCTAAGTGATTGATTAGGCATTTGCTATGTTGCAGAGTTAATACTTGTGATAATATATTAACTTGTTTAATTTTTCAGGAAACTAAGACATGGAAATGTTAGGTAATTTGCTCAAGGTCGCACAGCTAGTAAGGGCAGACGTCCAGAGAGTCGCTGCCTGCTCTTTTTTTTTAACTCTCACCATACTACCTCTGTATCCATTTCCATAAATAAAGATAGTGGTTTCTTTAACAGTAAATGCAATTTATTCCACTCCATGAATACTTCCCCTTTCTCATTTTTAATTTTATTGTGACCAAAATAATTTGTGCTTATATTTAAAATTCAGCTGCATTTTAGATGGACTGTGGATGAAAAGACTACTGGAGCCCTGGGTTGGTATTTAGCCCTAGTGACACAACATGACAAAGCAAAGTTGCTAATGCCAGAATTTAATAATCTCTGCTTAATACTGTTTCCGTGTGAAGCATTAGTACAATACATTGGGCTTACTGGTATGTGACATAAATTAATGTCAGTGAGGTCCTTGAGCCAGAAAGTTTCATTTCTCACAGTACTTCAGCATCTGCACGATTTTCCCTTTAACTTTGATATTCAGGGCCTCAAGACTTTCTAAGTTGTAAATGTTTTATTCCATTATCTATGTTACTTATTTTTTACTTCATGTTCCTTTCCTCTTTAAAGGCCTCCCTGGATCTGACCTCCACAGCTTTGTCTTTTCCTCAGGTTATCAAGACTTCAATTTCTTTATGAGGTATTTCCTCCAGCCGATTTTTCTGACCGCCACTTTTGTCGTTATTTTCAAAGTCAGCCGCCTCTCTTTTCTGCTGGATGCTGAACTTTTTAATTAAGAAATCGTGGTATTTTTTAGTTTCTGCACCTTTTTTAATTTTATAATTCCATGATATTTTCTGTCAAATTCTCCTCTGTCTTCCATTGGTTCTTGCTTCAGTAGACATCTGTCTTATTTCTGTTCCGCTGTCTTCTTTCCCATGCCCCGTAAATGAATTTAACTTTTCCTGGCCTACTCAAGCTGTGGTTTCCTCAGCATCTGCCAGCACCTTGTGCACATCTCTTGGGCAGTAGCAAACCCTAAGTGGTGGGCGATGCGGTGACTCTATTTCTCAGGACCCTGGTGAGACTCTACCATCTGATAACTTTTCTGTGAGGAGCTGTTTAACTCCAGACCTTTTCAGTCTCAAGCAGCAGTTCCTTCCCCAACTACAGATTGGAAAGCCCTTCACCAGAGCTCTGGAAGCAGTTTTGAGGCCAGCAGTCCATGGTGAGCAAATGGCAAGTAAGTCTTTAGGAAGAGCCATAGGGTCTTGTGGAAGTTGGAAACAAAGCATGGCAATTTTGTAAAGAATGAATTTGATTCATCTCTTGGTTGGGCTTTTGTAGTTTACCTCGTTATATTTAGGTGGAAAAAAGTCACAAAATCATGTTTTTATTTTTGTAATTAAATGACCTCTGTATATAGGTTCACATGTGTTGGTATGCACATGGAGAAAGAATAGAACCTATACACCTGATATGGTTTGATTCTTGTGTCCCAAACCAAATCTCATCTCAAATTGCTGTAATCCTGTGCTGGAGGAGAGGCTCAGGAGGTGGACGGGATCATGGGGGTACATTTCCCTGCTGTTCTCTGGATAGTGAAATGAGTTTTCATGAGATATATTGATTTTGTGGTATGTGTGTAATCTCCCTCACTCTCTCAACCTCCTCCTGCTCGCCATGGTAAGACGCAGGCTTACTCCCCTTTGCTTTCCCACCATAATTGTAAGTTTCCTGAGGCCTCATTGTCATGTTTCTGTTAAGCCTGTGGAACTGACTCAAACTCAAATCAGCAAGATAAAAATAAACCTAGCCAAAAGTGTGGACAAAGGATAAGGAATAAATTCTCAAAAGAAGATATATACAAAATGACCGACAAAACATATGAAAAAAATGTCAATATCACCAATTGTTGTAAATGCAAATTAAACCACAAGTGAGATACTACCTGCATTACTGCAAGAATGGCCATAATCAAAAAAAATCAAAAAACAATAGATGTTGGCATGGATGTGGTGAAAAGTGAACACTTCTACACTGCTGGTAGAAATGTAAACCAGTAAAACCACTATGGTAATAGGATGGAGAGTCCTTAAAGAACTAAAAGTAAACTACCATTTCATCCAGCAATCCCACTACTGTATCTGTCAAAGGATGGAATATCAACAGGGGAAAATGATTTGATATGTATGTTTATAGCAGGCAGTTTTTGTAATTAAAATATGGTCTTCAGCCTAAATGCCTGGGTCACAACCAAATGAGGATAAAGAAATGTGGCATATATACACTGCTCAGTCACAAAAAAGGAAAAAAATCACAGTATCTACAGCAACTCTGGATGGAGTGAGACCATTATTCTAAGTGAAGCTAACTCAGAAATAGAAAACCAAACATCATATATTCTCACCATAAGTGGAGCCAAGTCATGAGGATACAAAGGCATAAGAATGATATAATGACTTTAAATCTTGGAAAGGGGTTGGGGGAGGGGAGGATAAAAGACTGCAAGAATGGGTATAGTGTAAACTGCTCGGGGGAGGAGTACACCAAAATCTCAGAAATCACCAATTAACGCATTCATGACCAAACACCACCTGTTCCCAAAAACTATTGAAATTTTAAAAGAAATACTTATTGAACAATAAGGAAAACTTTGAATGTCACCTGAATGTAAATCCTAAACTCATTTTTGTCTATAAAATTTGCTTTGAATCTCTATGGACAAACACAGTTAATCACCTTAAAACTTCATAAATTTGCATTTCCAGGCTAGAAGTATAACTTGATTTCACTATTTTGAGCTTGTTTTATTTGAAATTTTTATTTTAGCCTTTCTGATAGTATACATGTGGTGGCATTTAAGAAATAAGAATTTAATTCCAAATGATCAATGTAAAACACCAAGCACACACTGTATGTATATTGATACTCAAAGACTTTCTTTTCCTTGCCTGACATAGAAAGAAATTTAGAAATTAATAAAAATGTGAAATTCCAATAATAAAATATCAAGGATATGAACAGACAATTCACAAGAGAAGAATCACCAATGGCCACAATCATGTTTATAAGATATTCAGATTAATTAGTAAGGAATGTAAAGTAAACTAATTTTTTTATTATTTTTGTCTAAAATAATTTAACTCATTAATTCTAGTATTGAAAACATGAGATGAAATGAAGATTTTCTCATATTACCAATGGTTTATTGTTTTCTTTTATCTGGGTACCACACAATATATTAACTATAGCTCTATTGTTAATAAATTGCATTCTAAGATTGCAGTAAGAAATTCCAAATGTTGATAGAAGATAATAGGAAAAAGGCTGGCTCAGTGG